ATACATTTTTATTTTGTTTTTAAAAGTGGAACAAAGGGTATCCAAATTTCATTCTCCAACCTTGCGCTGTAAATGACAATAAAATAAGCTTGAGTCCTTGAAAACGCTTGAAAAAACTCCCGAATGAAGATATTTTAACTTCAAAACATTATTACATCATTGTGGCACCAGTAAAGCAATAGAAACATCTAAAGGTGGCAGTAGAAATCAATAAAGCTGTATTTCCTTTCCTTCTTGACATTTTTCCTAATATATCTATTTCATTGAACTTAACCCAATCACTTACTCTAAAATGTGTCCATAACTAATGTCTGTTCTTAAACACGTTATTCTTTAAATAAATCTAAATTAAAATGTTAAATTTGACAGCATTTGACACCAAATTATAATATATAATTCTGTGAAAATTAACAGGCCGTATTTTCCTGCATTGAGTGCTTTTATTTTTGATACTTACTAGTACAATTCACTAATAATACTAATATATATGTGACATCTGCAATACAGGGCTTGTAGATTATTTGTGTAAGAGTAAAGTAACTTTAATGAACAATATGACAGTGCTTTCAGTGCAATCTGCAAGTATTCACATGTATCAGCTGCATGCTTTGCACAACATGTTTGGCTTCCTCATTCATTGTGCTTTACCGAAATATCACAAAGTATTTTACTATATGAAAGAGTAACTCAGGCGTTCATAATTTAAAATTTAATATGACATGTTTGTTTTGTCAGGAACAGGCTGGAGATTTACGTCAAAGCATATCTGCTTTTCCATTTCTCCCAGATCCACAGCAGTGTGGCAACTGTTGCTGTTCATTCAACACATGCATGCTTGACGTATTCTGTATTCTCTTCTTTATCTCCCATGCAAGAAAGAGAGGAAACAGAAGAAGAAGAGAGGGATGGAGGAAAAAGTGGAGGAGGGTGTAGTCTCATCCCGGCAGTTGATGCTCCTCCTGTTTCTTTCTCAGTGGATTCTGCACATCAGTTAGCTCTGATGCTTCTCCTGCATCAACCTCACATTGTTTCAGCATCCTGGATGGTCTGGACCTCCCAAACTGTGTGATGACTGCACCTGAAGCCGAGCCCAGGTGAGAGCACATCATGATCCAAACCTGAACTACTTTACTTTTATCCACCACAAAACAACACTTATGCAGGTCTTGGTGACGTCGGTTTATAAGGCCATATTATGCTTTGTTTGTTTTTTAGTCATAATCTCTAAGGGAGTGTACAAAAAGTATTAGGCGGGAGGCGGGGTCAGAGGAGTGGGAGGATAATGTATTTTTTTCTTTTTGCTAAAGGGAGAGGAGTCTGACATTTTGCAGACGGTCCTGCTCCAGATTTATATTTTATTTCCCAGCAATAACATTTTCTTGCAAGATTTACTCGAAGGTTACATAAAGTTACAAAACAGTCAGATGAAAAACATGCCATGGATGCATTTTGCCATATGAAGGCGACAATAATCCTGTCTCTGTGTCAGAGCTTCATTTTCTAGTTGGACTCGTATGTCAGTTTTAAGTCAGTTCTTTATGGTGAGTAGAGATTGATAAATATCTTTCAAAAGAGGGTGTCAGTTTTTCTTATTAATCTGCATTATAACAATAAAAACTAAATGTATCATAGAGTTAACATGAACATAGCTAACCTACAGTATAACTAGGGCTGCAACTAACAATTATTTGGATTATTTTTTAGATAAATTAATCTATTAGCCAATGAAGTCCACAAAATAGGGAAATGGCCAACACTGGTTCTAACAGTCCAAGGGGACGTTTTAAAATGTCTTATTCTGTCTGATCAACAGTCCTAAACCTAAAGATATTCAAAGTGAAATTACGTGAAACACAGAAAAACAACAAATCATCTCATTTTCTAAACTTGAACTAGAAAATATTTGCCTTTTTCTATATAAAATGAACAATTAACCTGTTCATTTGCTGCTAATTGATTAATCAAGTACTTGTTTTAGCTCTAAACATAATGCATGTTCAGCACAACCCATACAGAGCTGCTGCCTTTTTAATAATAGTCAAACATATTGTTGAGCCCCCCTCCCCATTATCATCATTAGTAGACAGTCCCAAATCCCTTATGCACAAATGCAAAAATTCAACTTCTGTGTTTTTTTTTATTCTGCCTGGAGAAATAAGATCTCCCAATTAAAAACCAATGAAGTTGATTTGTTGTTTATTTGTAGAGTCTCTTCAGTTCCCATCATCCAACTGGTTAGATGTGTGCACAGCAACAGGCAGCAGGTTTGAACTATCAGTGAGTGTAAATAGTGAACACTTGGGTCCGTGTTTGTTGTTTTTGTCTCTTATCAGGAACAATTTTCACCGCTCAGTTGGTCAGCACAAAGGCCACAGACTGAGCTTCATAACAACCACTGTTCCTCTCTCCTTTCATATCTCTTCTTCTCTCCGGCTAAATTCAGTTTGTGCTCTTAGTGTGAAAACTAAAAAGGAGCAGAGGACAAATTAAGTGGGTGATTTGCACACCTCTTCCCCATGATTTTCTTTGTGTTCTAAAATAAGACGAAACCAAAAGTGGAAAGAATACAATGTCTGCTACACAGTTAGTGTTCAGACAGCTTTTAAAATGTCAGGCATTTAAAAGAACAAGAAACTGGTGATTTTGGCTCTTTGAGGGATTAGTCAGAGACTTTGTTCTCTCCACATTCTCACCTTTCTTCCCATCAGAGTTTAAATACTGTGTGCCTTGGCTTCACACTTATTTCTCCTGCACATTGGAAGTAGTTGTGCTTCCAATCCCGACTCTGCATCAAGCACAGATCACATCGATTCAAAGTGAAGAAAATGGAAACGTGAAGATAAAACTGTGTCTTCACAGCCACAGAGCAGCACATATTAAATATATGCTGTGGACAATAAAGGAAAAATGAATAAAAACACCAACATTAACCAGGCAAAAGATAACTTTTGACAGCATGTTGTGGTTCAGCTGTAAACTGTATGGAAATAAGATATTCAGTGTCAGGAGTCTTTTTCTTTGATTTTACTCTCTGTTTATGGTCACTGTTTCTCTCCAAAGCACATTGTCGAATACAGACGCAGGCTTTGTGAAGTTAGTTGCAATCTGCAACCTAACCGCTAGATGCCACTAAATCCTACATGCTGGTCATCATTTAGGACAACCTGGATAGCTCACCTGGTAGAGCTGGCACCCCATGTAGGCTGAATCCCTTGGTACAGTGGCCTAGGGTTTGAATCTGACCTGTGGCCCTTTGTTGTGTGTCATCCCCGCTCCCAAAAAATACTTATTAATGTTAAAATGCTACTTATCAGGCTATACCCATTGATCAAAGTTGTTTATTAGCTTTATTTTAATTACAGTGCATTTAAAACCCAGATGGTGAGTGCAGCCCACGTCAAAATGGGAAAAATAAAACATTTATATGTGCTGCAAACTTTGGAGAACAGAACAGATCCTGAGGTGAAGCTAAGCCTAAACACTAGGATATTTTTTAAACCTCCTTTATGAAACAGAATTTCAATAAAATAGGCTCAGTTTCCTGAAATAGACCTGGTTTAACAGCAAATCATGCTGTTAAAGTGCATTTTTTTTGCTTTCTGCAGTTAGACTGACCCCAAGTACAGATTTTATCACAGGGTTGCTTAGTAGCTCAGCCGTTCACATTCTCTACCCTTATTTTCAGGTTTTCCATGACTGTGGAATCATCATGAATGTGAGTGGTACCTGTACGGCAGAGATGCCGTACGGATACCAACCCCGCTTTAAAGGGCTTTACATCGCCACTGAGCTCATCATCGCCGTGCTGGCCATCATCGGCAACTTCCTGGTTTGCCTGGCTGTCACCTGCAACAAGAAACTTCGCACTGTCACCAACTACTTCCTGGTGAGGAAACCTGTTTCTGGAACATAGGAGTCTTATCATAATCTACTAATGCATTGTTTGGGAAATCTACAAGCGGATATCTAAAGGACCGTGCGTGTGTTTCACTCTGTATGTGTGTGAAGGTGTCATTGGCAGTGGCGGACATCCTGGTGGGATTGGTGGCCATTCCCTGTGCAGTGCTGACAGACCTGGGTCAACCTCGCCATAACCTGCCCCTCTGCCTGGTGATGCTTAGCATCCTGATAGTGCTCACACAGGTAGGAACATTTACCTGGTGACTGATTGCAGGGGGATTTCTGCAGGGCAAAAGCACCGCCTGTACATAATCTGTGTTACTTGGACCAAGAATCCCTGCAGAAATTCAAAGTCTATAGAGTTTCTTATGAAGTTTAGGGACTGTGAAATAATTAGGGTGGGGACGAGTGCTGAAACTTGTTTCACAAAAAGCAAGAAGTTCTTCAGCGTTATCAAGATATTAGACCCACTGCACACCATATCCCCTAATAACGATAAATAATACAACTGTATTGAACTTGTTCCAACATTAATAACTAAAAGTGTATAAAGAATTAAAGAATATAAGCTGGTGTACTTCTAAACTGTCCAATAATTATCATGTAGGCACCAAATTGCTTATCAGAAACGGAATTAGCGAGGTATGTTTTTGACATAACTATTTGATTATTGACAAAAATGGTCCTTTCTCTTCCAGAGCTCCATCCTGAGTATGTTAGCCGTAGCAGCAGAGCGTTACATGGCCATCCTCCTGCCCTTCCAGTACCAGCGTGTCATGAGTCCTGGGAACGCCCGGCTGGCCCTGCTGCTCACCTGGGGCCTGGCAGCCATCTCTGGCTCCGTGCCCCTCATGGACCCGCAAAGACAACCAGCAGACTCTGAGTAAGAGGATGAGGGAAGGTGGATGGATGAATGGATGGATGAGGAACAGAGTGACTGTGTAAATGAGAAAGTGAATAGTAACAAGACTGCAGTAAAATGCAGTGAAATGAAAAATGGATAAATGAAATGGTGAAAAAATGAACAAATGAATGAAGGGACAATTGCAGGAAATTGAATGAATGAGAGCATATACTGTATACTGTATATAACATATACATATATATATAAATATATATATATATATGTCATTCCAGCTACTGTATCTTCACCTGTGTGGTGGATATGGCCTACATGGTCTACTTCAACTTCTTCTGCTCCTTCCTGATGCCGCTGGTGGCCATGTTCATCATCTACAGCCACATCTTCCTCACCGTCCGCCACCAAATCAGACGCATCGCTGTGGCCAGGGGAACCACAGAGGACATGACAACTGTTGGTAGTGGGAGCTCTGGGACAGAGGACACTGGGAATTCAGCTGCTGGGGCAACAACAGGAGCTGGAGCAGACATGAGGACAGTAGAGGGAACCGGCCATTTGAAAAAATGTAAGGTTAAAGTGAGGGCTGTGGAAGAGCCTGGCATTGGGTCTCTTATTGAAACTGAGACTACCACTGTCTTTATGAAGCCAGGGCTCAGGATCGCCTCAGCTGGGTCTACCAGCTCCAGCAGTGCCCCTGCTGACCCTCGTCCAGGAGAGTCCACCAAGGCCAAATCCAACATACGCACCCGTCAGGAGCTGCGTAAGGCCACCTCCCTCTTCCTGGTCCTGTTTCTCTTCATGGTGTGCTGGATGCCCATCCACCTCATTAACTGCATCCTGCTGCTCTGCCCACAGTGTGAGGTGCCCATGTCTATTACACTAGCAGCCATTTTGCTTTCCCACGCCAACTCGGCCCTCAACCCGATCCTGTACGCGTACAGAATGAGGTCGTTCCGACACACTCTGGTTGGAATGTGGAGAGGAATGTGGAGCGTTAGGCCAAAATGCCAGTAGAGCAACCCTCGCTGCTCAGGGTCAGGGAAATGGTCAAAACTTCAGAAACTGGGACTTACAAGTGGTTATTAATGAAAGTAACTTTGATCAAAGTGTGGTTCTTCAGTGCTGACCCAAAATGTCCTCCCTCAAGCACTGAATCAGCTGATAGCAAGCCTCCAAAGTGCCTGATAACAAGCCACTGAACAGCCACTGAACACTACCTGCTCAGCACCAAACAGCAGACAGACACATTAGCAGCTAGATGGTGAACATAGTGGAGCATTCAGTGGCTAAAGAGATATTTCTCTCAGGATAAAAGAGACTTAGTTTCATCAGGTGGACACAAACACAACTGTAAATGAATGCCAATGTTTCTCTGCGACTGCTGGATGTGAAAATAAGGAACTGTTTGCGAACACGCTTACCATGTCATTTTAAAAGGTTGCACTGCCCCCAGGTGGCCAAAAATAAATCAATTAATGCAGCTTTAAAGGATGAAAGGGCTCTAACAGATGTACAGTAAACTTTAGTCTTTGAATAGAGCTCAGTGTTTATATATTTCACTAGAATGAAGACCAAGTCTTACAGGGAGAATTTACACTTGAAAAAATATTATGTATAAAGTTATATTAAGTCATTGTTTATACTCAAAAGCAGATCAAGACTTTAGTAACTGAGGACATTTATGGTCAATTCATTTGACATGTGACTTAAATGGATATTAGGCTTTTTGGTTTCTTTGCAAATATTTTCTCAACAAAAAAACACTGTTGCTTCTTATTTTAGAGTTTTATTTATTGCATATGGTCATATTGTTGTTTACATTGTACACTGAGAACATGGCCATTGTAAAAGTTGAATAAATGAGCCGTTTTGTGTGTGTATAGTAACAGTTTATACGCACTCGAGTTGCACTTTGCCCCTGATTAGAGCTCGCCTGAAGGCATTTACTGTTAAACTGCAGGAAACAATATTTTTGTGTAGCCCAGCTTTTCAAAATAAATGTTTTTGTGCATTCATTGTACCCTGTTCTAATCCTGGTTAACGAATAAAGACAACAAAAAGCAAAGAGGCAAATCAACATAACTGCGTGCTTTATTGATATACAGTAAAGCATTTTATAATACAGTAGTAAGGCATATATTTGGTGGAATCTGATATGTTGTGAAGTATTGACGCGTTATTTGAAAAATGATGTGAGAATGAAACACAAACGTTAGAAATGGAAAAAACAAACAAACAAGGAAATCAATCAAATTCAGTGTCTGGATCAAAACAAAACCCTTTTGGATCATGCTGTAAAGAATATGATTCCAAAAAACACACGAGTGTATAACGCCGCGAAGCTCGCCACGGGCTTCTCTGAGTGGTTACACATTAAATAAGGATGGAGTTTATTTAGTCACACATGCTAATATCGTAACACCTCACACAACACAAAATAGCTTTTGAACCAAAGACAAAATGTAACACTCTGCAAGAATAAACGCATCCTCCACACAAAAAACAAATATCTAGTATGTCCCAGGTATGACAGTAGTGCACACGGATTCGTTTGATTTGTGTGAAAAGCTAGTTTTTATACTTGAGTCATATAAATCTCTGATAGAGAGATGAGAAATGCAGTGAGTGCATCCGAACATTCAGATCGGAGGCTCCAACAGTGCAGTAGAACATGTTCGGAGCGATATATAGGACATCTGACGTGATTTAATCAGCCAGCAATAATCAATTAATTATCAACAATCTGAGAGGAGTGTGGGATCGAGTACAGTAGAGAAATTGCCTCCAGACCGGACTTTGACAATTCACACGAGGTAGAGCTTACTGGGCTTCCTAAAACTCAAATATTTAGTCGTTTAAACAGAAGAATTCCTCAAAAATAATCTCAACTAGCAGCCTTGTAACACTGTAGTGCTCGGATTCAATTAAAATCACATTCTTCTCAGTTCCTCTTACAGCACAGAAACTATCAACTTATAGACCGATACACAGTGTACTGTGTGCACACAACAGGCCCTAAAGAGACACCTAGAAACCATCTTGGTGGTAAAAATGGAAATAAAACCCTCACTGAAGATGTGCCAGTAAATATACTAGAGAATATTCAACTTGGAAACTTTCATGACAACTCTACAACTGATGACCAGTTAGGATAATAAACTCTTTAAAAAAGGTGCCAACAACAAAGATCCTGTTTACATTCAGTGTTGCTCACCAAAGCACATTGTGTGTATCCTTGAGGCCTAATAAATGTGTCCAAAGCTTCCTCATAAAACATTTGCAGAGCCAATTATTGGAAGAACCCACTCTTACCACATAACTAATGGTCAGAAACTCCACAGGGTATCTGTAGAATTAAAGGAGCACTCCTCACAATTACACATACGACGACGATACCATGGAGATTTGTTTTATTTACTTGAGCCTGATGTTTTTCAGTTTAACTAATTATTAAGATTGATTACTGTAAAATGGAATCCACATGATGTCCAATTATTTCCCATTATGTGCCTTAAGTTTTGGAGTGACTTTGCTGACTCGTCTCAGTTCTGGATCGGGCCCATCACAGCACACAGTACACCATGTTGACAACAAATGCGGGGATAAAAAAACAGTTGCCGTAGAGATGTCAATAACGGGGAAGATGAACAAATTGATGGATGGATAGATGGACGGATGAGTGGATGAATGAAGAATTAAAATATAACGTTAGGGTTTGTCAGCCAAAGCCCCAAAAAAATACAAATAAAAAGCTGTAATGTAATGTGTAAATTAGGCACCACCACACACACACACACACACACACACATACACAAACTCACACACACACAGTCTCACAGACAACGTACTGTAAAGATCCAGGATGCCTGCATTACCTTGACAGTAGTGTACGCTGTTATAGAAAGACATTTTCCTCTTAGAAAGCACCCTTATGATTACAATCATTCTTTTTTTGATACAAATGTCTGAAATGCTTTTGCTGTTTCCCCAATTACAAAGAGATGGCAAATATTCGACCACACTGAACACACTTATTTGTATCTCATCTCTCTTTGTCCCCCCCCTTACCCCACTCTTGTTTTATACAATTGCATAGAAGTTTGAAAACCAGCCTCTGTTAATAATAAAACAACTTCAGGACGTTTTAAGAAACTACTGAAATCTACAAGTTATAATGTTTTTCTTTTGTTGTTTTTTTTACGCGTCGTTGCTGGAACCGCAATCCTTCACAAAAATAGACGTTATATATTCTCTTTGTAAACTGTGTTTCCAATCCAGTTGTTTTGACTAGAAAAGCATGCGACAGGTAGGGAGGGAGGAAGGAAGGGGAGGGAAGGCAGAAAGGGAAGTAGTGACACGGGCTGAAGGTTTTGGGGGGGGGGGGGGGGATCAGAAGGGCAGGCCCTCGTGCTGTTCGGCGCTCTGCTCGTCTGTCATCACGTTGACCAGTGACTCCATGGCGCGACCCAGATCATCAGCCATGTGGAACAAACTGCCAATACTGGGACCTGGAGAGAGAGAGACAGAGAGAGGGTGAGAGAGAGAGAGATAAAGAGAGGGTGAGGAAATGCTTAGACCATACACACTCAGTAACAGTGACAGAGTGAAGGTTCACACAAGCATACAGACATGACCGTAGAAACGGGAGACTACAGCTCTACAGCCATGCCAGCTCTGCCATGCTGTACTTACATATGCACAGTGGTGCTTTGGGCTAAATGCTAAAGCAACATGGCAACATTCTCACAGTGACAGTGCTAACATTTGCTAATTTCGTCATTAAAAACGATGCCGAAAAATGTTTGTTGATGATGAGAATGAGACTTAAGGCCTTTAAACGCTGGTTAATTAGCATGTCAACACATTGTTTTTGTTGTTTTTGTTATGAGTACTTTCAAACACTTTATTACACAGTTAGAAGCAGTGGAATTTTTTTTCAGATCGAGGATTATTTTTCTTTATTACTCAACAGTTATTATCCATCTTTTCTGTCTTCCCACAAAAACAGTAATTTCACCTCGGAGAACACAGGGGTTTGCTGGTCTTCCGCTGCCTCGATTGGTTTGAGACTTTGGTGTTTTAACAAATTAATACATCTTAATGGACCCAGCTCTGAAAAGCTGCAGCCATTTTTCCGCCAGTCCCTATTCTGCTTGACTAAGTGCGTGTGGATTTAATCTTTTATTTTAATGTGTCGCCAATTTACATCCCTGCTGATATACAATGATAATAGTTTTGATGCGACATATTCGCACAATAATAGTTTGCATTTTCATATTTCTTCTTTGTCACATCCTTGGTGTGTAAAGGCCTTAACATTTAATAAAAAGTAACCACTGAAAATAAGAACTATGGCAAAATGTATTACATATTAATAGTCTGTTCCTCAGAAGCCGAGTAAAGTCTCAGAAACGATGTTAAACCTTGTTGACAACTTGAATCACATTAAATTGTGGTTGAATCTTGCTGTGAACCCCACATTGTGAACATTATTAACACATCATCTCATCCCTAATCTACATGCATACAGAGAAGCACTACGTACACACACACGGACATTCACACACTACTCCCTACTGTGACGAACAGAGCAGCAGTGTGACAGAGGACAGGAAAGGGAAAGGAAATTAAAGAAAGGGAAAGGGAGGGAGGGACAGATATTTGTTGTTTTTGTCCCACTGCACCAATGTACCGTGACGTTTCCACTCGGCCATTATGTCTCTGCTGCACGTTCTACATACTACAAGAGACTCATTATTAAGCCAATTGTTATACTGTTCTGGTAGTGGACAAACATGGTACTGGCATGCAGTGGAAATACTCCGTAGAGGTGGTGTGGGGGGTGGGATGAGAAGGTGAGGGGAGAGAAAGTTGAGCCACTAACCTCTCATGGGTGTCCCCTTCTCCCTCCTGGCTCATGGAGAAAAAGAGGAAAGGAAGAAAAGCGAAGAAGAAAGGAAAAAAAAAAATCAGCTTTGTGTCGGTAATGAAGAGAAAGAAAGACCTAAAAACAG